CACCAGCAATTGAGAAGTGTTCCTCTTTCTCCACATCCGCTCCAGAATAAACTGTCATTTGTGTTTTTGTTGTTATCCTTTGGGAGTAAGATGGTATCTCAGAGTTGTTTTGATTGGCATTTACCTGATGGCTAAGGATGCTGAACACTTTCTTACGTGTCTTTCAGCCATTTTATATTCCTCTATTGAGAATTATCTATTTAGTTTTGTACCCCACTTTTTAAATGGATTGTTTGGTGTTTTGGAGACTAGCTTCTTGAGTTCTTTGTATATTTTGGAGATAAGCCCTCTGACAGATGTGGGGTTGGTGAATATCTTTTCCCAGTCTGTGGGCTGTCGTTTTGTCTTGCTAACTATGTCCTTTGCCTTACAGAAGCTTCTCAGTTTCAGGAGGTCCCATTTATTAATTGTTGATCTCAGTGTCTATGCTACTGGTGTTATGTTCAGGAAGCGGTCTCCTGTACTGATTAATTCAAGGGTATTTCCCACTTTATCTTCTAGTAGGTTCAGTGTTCGGCCTGAATTCTTGTTGGAGGGGTGGGATATAGTCAAGGTTAAGTACCCCAGTTGATGAGCTTACAGATGAACCTAGTACTCCTGGACTCATCTGGCTACTAAAGCACCTGGGACCAGACCATCAATGTTTGGTAGGTATATGGGCGGCACTGGCCATATATGTATGAAGCTTCATAGATGGCAAACTGGAAAAGGGGACCTCGACTTGGAGAATCTAGAACAGCTGTGACCAGGGGTCCCCACTACTTTCCAGCCAGAAATGTGCCTCTCTAGTAGTAATAGGTTCAAGTGTATATTAACATGTGTGGGAGAATTCCTCCTGGTCTATACCTGGTCTGGCTCCAGAGTGTTAGCAGTAACTAGCCCTAATCCATCTTTGGTTTCTCAGTTACCCTTTGTTTCTCTTGTTATCCTATATGTGAATCTTGTCTGAGAGTTTCCCAAAGATGCAAAGCCTATGCAACACTTGGCTAGAAAACAACCCAGAAAACTATGGTATTTTCTGAGAATTTGCATTTGGTAATGTCACTTTGGAGGCTCAGTCAGGTTGTTTTGAGGATACTGAAATCAACTTGCTTCGCTGTAAACTGGAGAACAATAAGAGAAGCCCTGGGCAAAGGGGAAGGGGTTCAATCTTTAGAGACAGATCCCCCCTGTAGCTGAAAAAGGCTAAATTCATTCTTAAGGTGCCTCTGAGTCTTCTTTCCACAGACCTGCGTGAACCCACACCTGTGCTGTTATAAACATAGGTGTCAAAGCTTTTCAAACTGTCTACTTGGTAGACTCTATCTCTTTTATGTCACAATCCCTGAGGAGCTTTTTCCCAGAGGATTCCATGTCCTCTTTGGCCTCTACAGGCACTACATGCATGTGGTATACTTCAAATACATACATGCAAAACACTCATACACATAAAAAATAATTTAAAAAAAAACTGTTGAGCTTTTTAAAAAAAGAGTTAGAATCAATTATTTAGTGCATATGTGAGTGCAGTATTTGTGTATGCATGCATATGTATACAGGCATGGATGCTTTCATGGAGATTAGAGGAGCTATTTCTTTGAGACAGACTCTCTAACTGAACCATATTGCTATGCCTGGCTTTTCTTTGTTTTTACAAATGATTATTTTTAAAAATTTGTGTATGGGTATACAGCTACGTGAGTATATGCCACATGTGTATGGTATGTGTGCTGACCAGAAGAGAGTGTTGGATCACCTGATGTGGGTTCTAGAAATGGAACTCAGGTCCTCTGGGTGAGCACCAAGGGTCCTAACCTGTTCTTTCTTCCTTCCTTCTTTTTTTTTTTTTAAATACAGGGACTTGTATCAGAAGCCAGGTGTTTATGCTTGTGCAGCAAGCGCTCTTACACACTGAGTCACCTCTCAGTCCCAAGAAGCTTGTCTCTTGACCTCATATGCAATGTGCATTACTTTTCTAATCTGGGAAGATGGGGTGGATATAATCTCCTGGGACTAAATGTTCTTATACCTGTGAACTACCTTGAAGAAAAACGATAGGATTTGTGGCAGAAAGATGAAAGTCTTCCCCAAGATCTACCCAACTTGACTGCATCAATGAAGCATACCTAACATGTATCACTTCCTACTGAAACATTTTGTTCTGCTTTCCACTACAATTAATGGCAAATTCTAGCCATGAGAGTTTGTAGTGGATCTCTCAGGAGCTAGAGGCAAAAAGATTACTTGTAGTCAGTGTGGTGGTTTGAAAGAAAATGGCCCCAAAGGGAGTGGCACTATTAGGAGGTGTGGCCAAGTTGGAGTAGGTGTGATCCTGTTGGAGGAAGTGTGTCACTGTGGAGGTGGGCTTTGAGGTCTTATATATGCTCAAGATACTGCCATGCGTTTCAGACCACTTCTTGTTGCATTTGGGTTAAGATGTAAGGATGCTCAGCTCCAGCACCACATCTGTCTGCATGCTGCCCTACTTCCTGCCACGATGATAATGGACTAAACCTCTGAACTGTAAATGAGCCACTCCATTATAAGAGTTGCCATGGTCATGGAGTCTCTTCACATCAGTGGAAACCCCCAACTAAGACAGTCAGCCTAGGCAATTTACCAAGACTCAATCTCACGATAACTGCAAAATAAGTGCATCAAAGCTCTGAGCAAGAAAAGAAGTAGTATTTGCTACCTGTGCTGGCTAGTTTTATGTCAACTTAATACAAGCTACAGTCATTTGGAAGGAGAGCCTCAATTGAGAAAATGCCTCTATAAGATCCAACTGTAGGGCATTTTTTAAGTTAATGTTTGATGGAGAAGGGCTCAGTCCATCATGGGTGTGCCATTCCTAGGCTAGTGGTCTTGGATTCTGCAAGACAGATGGCTGAGAAAGGCACATCAAGCAAGCCAGTAAGCTGCACCACTCCATAGACTCTGTATCAGCTCCTGCCTCTAGGTTTCTGCCCTGCTTTCCTCAGTGATGGACTGTCACCCAGAAGTATAAGTGAAATAAACCCTTTCATCCCCAAGTTTCTTTTGACCATAGTGTTTCATCACAATAATGATAACACTAAGACACCACCAAATACTCTATCATGGCCATAGTGTCATGAATAGAGGAATGACTCAGGAACCATAAGATACATGAGTGAGTCATTGGATAAAAGGGTCAACAACCTTCAACATCATGACACCTCTTGGGTTTAGAATTTGGACCTAGCTCCCCAAAGTCCAGATGAAACCCACATTTCAGTCTTTGGAATAAATTATTTTGTTTGCTCTGTGGACCCTTTGTTGTGTTGCTATTAGACCTTTGTCCCAAGATGATGGTTTTGAGCAAGAGAGAAGCTCAGTTTGACTGCGTCCTGCCAGCTGTGTCTACTATGACTGTGCATGGCATAGTGTTCAGCAGTGTCTACTTTGGTTTGCCATGCAGCTGAAAAGGCAAAGATGAGGGTCTCTGTGGAGAGAGAGAGAGAGAGAGAGAGAGAGAGAGAGAGAGAGAGAGAGAGAGAGAGCACAAGCAGGCAGTGAGATCCTGGCTGTAAGGATTCAGGCATTATGCTGGCCTGCCCACCTGGCAGAATGTACTCAGACAGTACTGTAGTCAGCCCAGGGTTCCATGAGTATTAGTCTGTGTGCAGGTGCAAAGGACCCCTTTAAAAGAAAGACCTCTACCCACTTATGCTCTCTTTCCACTCTTTCCACTCTCTTCTCTTCCTGCTCTTTTCCAGCTCTCTTTCCTTCCTGCTCTCTTTCCTGAGGTTCCCCTGGGGCAGACAGGACTCTTCCTGTCTCCCTCTTCTATTCTGTCCTCTCTCTGTGTCTCTCTACCTTTTTTCTCTTTCCTTCCCATTCCCTCCCTTTCTAATAAAACTTCTCACTTAAGTTCTGTCTGCCTGTCATATTTGTTCCTCCTCCTTGGTCACCATCACCTGCCATGGAATCCATGCAAGGTTCTCTTCAAGCTTTATCATAACAAATGTAAGGATTCAAGCATTATGCTGATCCCGCCCCCTGACAACTGGCAGGGTGTGCACACCTGCATTCAGGCAGGTACTTAGACAGCTCAGAGGACCCTATGTTGTGTGGCTACATCATGTGTTATATGGCTGCTAAGGACTCTGTATGTATGTGCAAGCTTTCCCTTTTAAGCTAGTGCCTCCCACCTATTCTCCCCTTCTTCCCCTTCTTCCCTCTTCCTCTTCCCTTCTGTCTCTGTTCCTGGTTGGCCAACACCTACCCCTCCCTTTGGTCCCTTTCCCCAATAAACTCCATATGGGTTTTATTGAGTTTTGTGGTTCATGTTTCATTGCTGGCAGCTGCTCAGCTGGCTCCAGGTGTCTCTGGTCTCTATATTTCAGATTTATGCCAGCCCCAACACCTACGGTGCTAGGAATTTTCATCCAGTGAGTTGTAGATAGCAGTGGGAAGGAATTCCATTTTCTAAGATGTAGGCAAGAGACAAGACCACTAGAAAAGTTAGTATGGAACAATAACAGTGAGTTGGAGTCCTGTCAATGCCTTGGCAAGAGACTTATGGAAAGCAGAGACAGGTATGGTGTAGGACAATGCAGAGCCATGCCAGACTTCAGCTGAAGGAGCCCTAACTCATAGCTACCAAAAAGCTACACAGAAAATTTTCTGCCTGCAAGCTTGGCTGGGTGTCCGTGAAACACAGAGCAGGTGGTCCAGCAAACTAAGAAATCACCTAGGTTCTCAGAGGAAGGGGTGGTCCTGGATCAGAAGTATAGCATGGTGAGTAGGAGTTTCCCAGCATTCCAGAGATGAGCAAGGAGCAATAAGAGGGGCCAGTTTACAAGCATGTAGCTCACCAAGTTTTCCTGAAACATGGGTTCACAAAGCTCTCTGACCTCATAGAAAGGGTCTCATTTGTTCTTTTGGCTAACCCCACTGCCTGGTTTTAGACACACACACAGAGCCAAGCTGCAGTCGTGGGGTGGAGAATCACATTTCCCTTAAAACATTTCATCCAATCTTGTGGCTCCTCAAGTTTCTCTTTTGTCTATCAGACTACTTGTTCTTAAACTTTAGTTCTTAGGCTTTCTAGAGAAACTCATAAGTTATTCAGTCACCCAATAAAGAAGTTTCAATAAAAAATCTCCCTCATCCAGCATCCTGAACCAGAAGTTGCATGACAGATGTCTTAGTTTCTCTCCTATTGCTGTCAAGAGACACCACGACCAAGGCATCTTATAAAAGAAAACATTTTATTGGGGGTTTCAGAGGGTAAGTCCATTACCATCATGGCAGAGAGCATGTCAACAGGTAGGCAGGAAGGCAGGGGTGTGTTTACATATCCAGACAGCAACCATGAGGCAGAGAGACAGGTAATTGGGAATGCCATGGGCTTTTGAAATTTCAAAGCCCACCCTCAGTGACACACCTCCAACCCTTTCCAAACAGTTCCACCGAGCATTCAAATTTATGAGCCTGTTGGAGCCATTCTCATTCAAACCACACCAGCACATAAGCCTCTTTCATTTTTCTGCACTCAGCACTGCTGATAGTCCAGGAAATGACAATTGGTGCCTAAGTCTCCGGAACACATCCACATGCACCATTAAACAGCATGTCACTTCTCCAGATGAGAGGCTGCAAGGGGTCAAAGTCACCCAAGAAGAATGAGCAAGGGGCTGAGGATACAGGTTTCCACCACTCTCTGCATGAAGATTATATGTCATAATTAAACCTCTCCAGTGATCTTAGAATGCCGTGGAAAGATTCCATATAAAGTCACCCTGAATAGATCTTCAGACCCAGGGGTCCTTAAGAAATAACAATCCACCAGTGTGAAAAAACAATTTCTCATGGGCATTTCTCAAGGGGCATGACGAGACTTCATTTGGGGTAAGGATAGGTGAAGGCAGAGTAACTAGAGAAATGGAAGAGAGTTTGGGACACATGTTTCCTTAACTTAGAAAAGTTCTGCTAGGATTATTTTCTTTCTGAACATAAATGCTAAGCCAGTGGCACTTCACTGGACCGTCCTAACTCGGCTCCATCTGGATTACATTGGCTCCTCGGTGTCTCGGGGCATCTCCTTAGGGGCAGTGAAATGGACTCCATTTCATTGTGGCTCTAAAGACAGATGGCCAGCTTGACACTTGTACTCTGAGGGACATACTGTGGCTGGAAGTCATCTCACAAATTCATGCTCCTAGGAACCCTGACTGGAGGATGCCCATCACCAGGGAGCCTTGCGTTGGACTAAGGACAACAACCGTCGCCCGCGGTTGTCACCAGATGCTGACAGGGACCTGCCACCTACCTCGGTCACAATGGTGGAAAGGAAGATTTCCTTGCTGTACTCCCAGCCATCCAGGCAGCTCTCCTGCTCCAGCTGTTCCAGGTCCACATCCACTCCCGGTTCCAGCCCCAAAGCGGAGAAGTTGGCGATGGTGTCCAGTCGGTAGCGGCGGCACTTCTGGGGCACCTGTCGTCCGTCCTTCGTCTCCAACGGGATGCTGTGGTTGCGCCACGCGCTGCTCAGGTTCACGGTGTCCGGTACCAGGCAACGGTACTCAGGGCTCGCAGTCAGGAACACGGCTGACAAACCAGTGAAGCCATTGGGGATGATGCTGGCGCTGAGTAGGAAGAAGATGAGGCGCTGGAAGAGGCCCCATTCGCCCAGGAAGGCGGTCACCTCGTCGTAGG